TAAATGGTTTGTTGTCTAAATTTTTCACTTATTACTAGTTCTATTGCCAACTTTGCCAAACAAATAAATGTGTCTTCCCTCAATTTTTATTTTGTTTAAAGTCCTCCTATAGTAGCAGGCTTTAATTAAAATTAGTAAATATATCGACAAAAATATGGTATTTTGTTTTATGTGTTAAAATTCTCAGCATGCAGCCTAATAGGATCTCAGTGAAATAAAGTGTGGCCTTCCAATGTAAAATGGTTCTCCACCCCTGCCGTATACCTTGGCATTATGTCCTATTGTTATTACCTTTAGTTGTTGTCTTTCATTTTATTTACTGCTCCATGGCGCTGCTAATGAACTCCTTTTTGCCTCTGGGTCTCTTTTCTGTGGACATTTTTCACTGGAACTTAGGAGGTGGAGGGATGACCGGAGAGGTTTATAAAATCATGAAGGGCATGGATAAGGTGAATAACAAAGCTCTTACCTTCACGATAGAGAAGTTCAAAACTAGGGGGGCATACTTTAAGGTGAGAGGAGAAGGACTTAAAATGGGCGTGACAGGCAACTTTTTTTTTTACACGGAGAGTGGTTCTTCTGTGGAATGAACTGCCAGAGGAAGTGGTGGATGTCGGTATAGTTACAACGTTTAAAAGACATTTAAGTAAGTACATGAATAGGAAAGGTTTGGAGAGATATAGGCCAACTGCAAGCAGGTGGGACTATTTTAGTTTGGGAGAATGGTCAGTGTGGACTAGTTGGACCGAAGGGTCTGTTTGCATGCTGTATAAGTGGGCAAAAAGCTGACAGAGTACAATATGGCAAAGTGTGAAATTGTTCATTTTGGCGGAAAGAATAAAAAAGAAACATATTGTCTAAATAATGACAGCTTGCAAAGCTTGAGATGCAAAGAAATCTGGGTGTCCTAGCATATGAATCGCGGAAGGTTAGTGTACAGGTACAGTAAGTAATCAGGAAAACTAATAGAATGCTAGTGTTGCACGAGGGAATTTAATGCAAGAACAGGGAGTTGAGCTTCAATTATACAGGGACTCATCTGAAGTCCTGTGTACAAAACCGGTCACCATAGGTATGAAAGGATGCTTCCGTGTTGGAATCAGTTCAGAGAAGGTTTACTAGAATAATATTTGGAAGAGCAGATTGTATTTAGGAAAGGTTAGACAGGCTAGGATTTTATCTTCTGGAGTTAAGATGAGTCTGAGGTGAATTAATTGAAGGGACCTGACCAAGTGGATGTCAAAATGATATTTCCTGTTGTGGGAGAATCTAGAACTAGGGATTATAGGTTAAAAATACGGGGTCACTCCCTTAAAACAGAGATTAAGCAACATTTTGTTTCCTTTCAGAGGGTTGAGAGACTTTAAATTCACTTCCTTAAAAGGCAGTGGGATGCACAATCTTTAAGTATCTTTAAGGCAGATATAGATAGATTATCAGGAGATGTAGGAATGCAGAGTCAAGATTAAAATCAGATCAACCATGATCTTATTGAATGGCAAAGCAGACTCATGGCCTACTCTCGTTCCTTGTTTGTGTGTTCAATTCTCTCTTGGAATTCCATCTGTCGATCATTTGTTTTGACTGAATATGACAGGGGACATGATGTGAACATTACAATCTCTCCTCCAGAGATGCGGCAGACTAATTAAACTTAGCAAATAAGGCAGCTATTGCTTGGCTCTGGGCATATGCATTTGATAAACAAGCAAAAACAAAGATGGACACCAATCAAGTGTGTTTGTCTGTGCTTAGAAAACCTGCCTCATTAAGTGGATCTTGATCAATCTTCCTCAACTCCACCTTTCACTTTGAAACAACATTGTCCCAGTCGTCTTACCTTGCATAATAAAACTGCTAAGGGATCTATCTCAATAGATTAGCATTCTCCTGAATCTAGAATTAGTAGGGTGCCTGAAGATGCACAACCATCATCATTTCAAGTTATTAGAGTTTCTTCATTTTTGAAATGAATTCCTCTTGAGACAATACTAAAAGGCAAGTGGATAAATGTGTGGAAAGGAAACTTTGGAAAAGGAGTTTTCAGACAGCATAATAGGGCAATTGTCTCTTTCTGTATTGTGAAATTTAACAGTTCTACATGATCAGCTCTATTATCTAAAACCAAGTCAATATTGCATCTTATTGTGTTTGCAATACCAAGTACAAAAAAAACCCAAATAGATTCTACAAATTCCACCTCATTTAAATAATGAGTAATATTAATTACAAAGAAAGGTACTATTCAATCTGCCATATCCATACAAGATACCTGCAACTGCAAGCCAGCTGCTCTCAACCTCTTGCCCTTCTACTGTAGACCTGCAAACTTTCTCTCATCAGATATAATCCAATTCCCTTTAAATATTTGGATCTACTTTCACCATACTCCCATATTCCAGATTCTAAACACTCAGTATGTAAAAACATTTTACTCCATGTCACTTCTGTTTTTTTCTTTTTTGCCAATCACTTTAAATTGAGGCCCTCCAACTCTAAACCCTTGCACCAACAGCTCCCTATCTACTCTGCCCAGGTTCCTCATTATTTTGAAAACTTCAATCAAATTAACCTTCTTCTTCAAAGAACAAAGTGCAACTTTTGAAATCCCTCAACCCTGAAGCTATTCTCATAACACCTTTCTGTGCCATCTCTCAATGAAATAGGTGACAGCAATTTATTTGCTCATTTCTCAGGTCAATATCCATCAGAATCCACTCGCTTGTTTAAAATTTAATCAAAGCCTGGTAGTTAACTGTCAATTGTTATTAATTGGTGCATTCTCCACAGCAACACCTCCAGCAGAATCCAGTTTCTAACCAATTGGCATTCTCTTCTAATACAGTAAAGCTTTCCTCTTGAATTGGTTCCCTTGCAAATTGTCCCAATGAGTGCAACACTAAAAGCTTCAATAAAATGTATATTTTTTCAGCAATACATCTCTGAAGTATTCACATCCTTCCTAAGACATGTTATGTAAAATCAGAGTTGAAGCTGAACCAGTGTTTTAGAAAGATTTATCAAAATGTTTATACTGTATGTCTCTATTTTAAAACGGAACAATGCTTCATGGCTTTTTAACCACTTTCTCAATCTACCCTGCCACGCTCAACAATGCATGTACAATATTCACAGGATTCTGTTTCTGCATCCACCTTTGAATTGTACTTTTCATTTTACGCTGCCTCATCCCATTCTTCTTACAAAAATGTACCACTTCACACATCCCTACATTAAATTTCACCAGACCCAAAACGTTAACTCTGTTTTCTCCTTCACAGATGCTGCCAGACCTGCTGAGCTTTTCCAGCAACTTTGTTTTTGTTCCTGATTTACAGCATCCGTAGTTCTTTTGGTTTCCACCTTCTTTGTGTTTGCCTATTCCAATTACCTACTCATGTCTTTCCTAAGTCCATTATTATACTTCTCACAGTTCACAAGACTTTCATGTTTGATGTAATTTGATATTTTGAAATGGTTTCCTTACACCCAATTGAAGGTTATTAATATGCAGTAAGAAAATCAGTGTCATACTGCTGACCGGGGAACACTTCTCCATATTTTCCTCTGGTCCAAAAAATAACTATTCACTATGATTGTTTCCTATCATTCAGGCAACTTTGTATCCATACCATCTCAATCTACTCTGCCAGACTCTTCATGGTTTTGAACATCTGTCATTATAGAATCATAGAATCCCCACAGTGTGGAAGCAGGCCATTTGGCCCATTGAGTGCACACCAATCCTCTGAAGAGCATCCCAACCCTACCCACACCCAGCCCTATTCCTGTAACCCTGCATTTCCCATGCTAATCCAACTAGCCTGCATATCTCTGGACACTATGGGCAATTTAGCATGACCAATCCAGCTGACCTGAACATCTTTGGACTGTGGGAGGAAACGCACTTCGACACACCGAGAATGTTCAAACTCTTCACAGACAGTCACCCAAGGGTGGAATTGAACCGTGTCCCTGGCACTGTGGGGAAGCGGTGCTAACTGCTGAGGCAATATGTTGCCCAAAAATGTTCATATTTCCTCTCGATCGTCCATCTTGAGGGGGTCAATTAGCTGGATAGCTGTTTGGGACGCAGAGTGATGCCAACAGCACAAGTTCAATTCCTGTACCAGCTGAGTTTACCATGAAGGACTCTACTTCTCAACCTCACCCCTCAACTGAGGCGTGGTGACCCTCTGGTTAAACTACCACGAGTCATCTCCCTCTAATGAGAGAGCAGTCCCTTGATCTGGTAAGACTATAAACAGAAACTAACCACAAAACAATAAGATGCTTGAGGTAATTGATATAAACGTAAACTAAAATGAGAAACGAGAAAAAAAATTCAAATAGATGAAATGCTTAGCACATACAACACTTTTTAAAACTATAATTTTCTTTTGCCAACTCAAAAAAAGTCAATGCTCTTCTAAACAAATAGTAGACTTTTTTTAAACACAGTGCCTTTCAAAGTGATTCACAATGAATCCTACAGGTTTCAAGTTACTATAATAATGTAAAGAAACATAGGAATGAATGTGCCGACTGCAGGATCTCACAAGCAGACGTAAGATAAATAGTCTTGTGATATGTGTTAGGGGGTTCATTTGAAGGATAAAGGTTAGCCAGGACAAAACAGATCTGTCCAGCACTTCTGTGACTACTTCCATGAAATCCATCCAAAGAGTAGAGACCTCAGTTTAACATCTGATCTGAAAGCTGGCACCTGTAATAATGCATCATTCCCTTAACTTGCATTGAAGAGTTAGATTAAATTATGAGTGATTCTCTAAAATGGAGATCAAAGCAGAAACCTCCTAGCTCAGAAGTGAGAATTCGGTGATTGCACGAAGACTGGCACTTAATGAAAATCATTGGTTGCAAAATGCTCCAAGAAAATGAAACAGCACTTATAAAAGGGCAGATTTTCTCTTTTTTCAAATGTGCTTCATAAATACATAGAATAAAAAAGGAAAAATATATTTATGGTTACTTCATACCTGGCTAGGGTACTTTTCCCAGATCCAGGTGGTCCCCTCATCAAAATTAGCATTTTAGTTGTTCCTAATATCTTCTTGTTGATATGCTTTGGAAACGAATACTCGCTTTGCAACTGCTGAATGCCAGACAGATTTAACCATGGTTTTGAATGTGAGTTGATGGCACCCAATCTCATTGACTGATGAGGTGAACCAGGACCAGCTCTTACAGGTCTCCATGGTGAAACAACATGAGACTTTGGTTTTGCAGGAGCCATTGCCACAGGGGTGACAAAAGTCTTTGGCAAATTCACAGGTTTGAATTCAGGAGCCCATGGGTTCCATGAGATTGGAGATATATTTGGAACATGTGGAAACAGCATGCTACTGGAATACTGATGGTAGTCTGCTCCCACATTGTTCAGTAAATTAGGTGGTTTTTCACTACTTATATTTTCCCCTAACCAATCAGGAAAACAAGCTGTGTTTTGTTGTATATTGTTCAAATTACTCCCTCTATTTTCTAATGGTTTTGTTGAGAGAATGCTGCTTTTTGGATTTGTTGGATTTGTTTCTTTATATGCTTGTGTCTCTTCAAATAATTTGCAGTTTTCTGCAGACAATGGATTTGTGTTTGGTCTGAACCACGGTATTTCATTGCCAGTTGTACCAGAACATTTTCCTCCTAATTCAGCAGAAATGCCACTATTTAGGGATAATCCAGTTTGCTGATGTAAAGAATTTGAATGTGAGTCGTATTTTTGACCAGAAAGCACTGAATCACCATACTTGCTTGGGACAATGTCCACAGAAATGGCTGCTGACAAGCTGTCGATTTCAGTTTCATTTGCCCAAATATCTGCACTACTTGTGCTTACGTTGTTTGAAAATGCAATTCCAGGGTCATTAGAGGACTTCTTGCTGCTGGAACTTTCAACATCTTCTGACAGCAACTTGTTATAATCTAACTGAACTTCTGGTCTTTTCTCAAAAACATTATTTCCATAATCAAAACAATGGCCTAAACTTTCTTCACATTCTTTTGAATTTAGGGCAAATGGTGAGTGCCTGTGACACGTTGCATTATCTCTCGTTTGCTGTTGATTTAGCATACAATTGAAAGTAGAGTTCAAATTTGATTGAATTAGCTGAGGTAACTCTTCACTAACACAGAGTCTAGAAAACTGACTGATGGGAGAATTATATCGATTCATAAATGGCTGGTACTGTTGATAAGTCGTGCTTTGTTCTGAAACAGTTTCATCATTGGTGTTTGTGCAAGAATTTTCCAATTTATTTTCAGTTGAAGAGTCCAATTGTTCAGACAAATGCAATCCAGGTTCTCTAGCACTTGTAGAAACAACAAGCAAATTACTTCTGTGGTCGTTCATGACTACTTTGCTCTTACTATTAACTTGATCATCACTCAGGGAAGCTGCCACATGGTCAAATCCAGAGAAGCTGGAAGATGCTACACCTTCAGCTGCGTCAGACAGTACCAACAAAGAGTCCATTGCATCGTCAGCTAAACAAGATAAAAAAAGGAATTATCAAATAAGTATGTGAACCAACAAGAATGTTTTCTGATCCCAAGCTAAATCATTATTTCAGATTTTATGCATGTAATTTTCATGTTTGTCTGTTGGAATTAAATGTATGGCTGAATTGTATATTCACAATGTAGCTAAATCTTACAAGCAAGTTGGAATTTTTAAACAATCCTTCTTCTGTCAAGTATGTGGAAGGGAGACAGAAAACAAAGCAGGATTGTTGCAAGGGATCAATTATACAATTTAACAGCAGCTTGTTTGTACAGTATACAGTAGCAACATATATACTGTTCATCTACCCTTATGGTGCCAGTATTACTAATGTTAGCATGTGGTCTCAATAAGGCAACAGAACGGAGCTCGGCACTGTGAACACAATTTAGTGATTGCAATGGGGTAGCATCAAACACAATGGACAGCACTATCACCCCAACCCTTTGTAGCCTCTTCAAGGCGTGTTCTCTTCCGTAAACAAATCCATAATATCAAGACCCAGACAAGTGCAAGCAATCTACTCAATACTGCAGTGCAGCAAAATGCCTTTGAAACTGTAGTTACTCTGTAAAGATCAATAGATGTGCACTGAATGTGAACATTAATATAATGAATCAAAGAAAAAAATTAAGATCACATAATGCAAGTCGCAGTCTTATGGATCAGGGTAAACATTTTGAACCATGGCTCATCTAGTCTGCCATATAATGTGAACCTAAACATTCATAACTAAGATCATCAGCAGTTCATTTGCAGATATCAGCAATGAAAATTGACATTGAACAGAGATATTCCTATATTCTAGGATCCCAAAATGTCCCATATGTAGATTTGACAACAACCTGTAACTCCACAATTAGCAAAGCAAAAGATATGAACACACTTGTAAAAAGTTATTCATTGTTTGTTGAGTGAACATTTTATGACTGACAGAAAATTAGCATATTCCTACTAAGTGTCCAACGAGTTATATTTCTTGTGGTTTGTCTGCTTCTCCTGATCAACACTGTAGTGTCCATAATTTTTTACATTGATATGTAGCCAAATTTTTGGGAGACTCAGGTTAGCTCTGTAAAGTGTCGACAACACACATAGCCCTCTCAGCAGAAACTGAGTCATGGAAATGCTAGAGCACCAATTAGCAGACCTTCCCATAAACCACAACATTCACCCAATAAGCAGGGATTGGGCAATATTCCCCTGGTCTCAGTGGAAATTCCTTTTCCCCATCAAGATGAGGCAAGAGTACAAGACTCCATTACATCTTCCCAACAGAAACTAGATCAACCTTTCACTCTGCGGACAAAGATCATGTCTCATTCCCAAACCAATAAAAGCCAGCCATGATACGGTGTTTTGGGTCACCGAATGTATCAGGACTGAGTTCCACCACAAACTGTAACAGCATAGTCCAGCATTTGGAAACATAGTAAATAGGAGCAGGCATAAGCCAGTTGGTCCTTCAGGCCTGGTACCCCATTCAACATGATCATCCAACTCAGTAATCCTTTTCCACTTTCACCCCATCCCTTTAAGAAATATAAATAATTAGTTTTTGAAAGCATTCAATGTTTTGGCCTCAACCGTTTTCTGTGGCAGAGAATTCCATATGCTCACCACCCTCTGAGTAAGTTTCTCCTCACCTCAGGGCAGCACAGTGGCTCAGCAATGCTACCTCACAGCAGCAGAGACCCGGGTTCGATTCGACCCTCAGGCGACTGTCTGTGTGGAGTTTGCACTTTCTCGCCATGTCTGCGTGGGTTTCCTCCCACAGTCCAAAGATGTGCAGATTAGGCGGATTGGCCATGCTAAAGTGTCCAGGAATGTGCAAGGTGGACGAGAAATGGGAAATGCAGGTTACAGGGATGGGGTAGGGGAGTCTGGGTGCAATGCTCTTCAGAGGTTTGGTGTGGACTCCATGAGCTGAATGACCTGCTTCCACACTGAAGGGATTCTACGATGATTTAAATGGGCTACTCGTATCCTTAGTGTGTGACCCCTGGTTCTGGACTGCTGGTCATCAGCAACATCCTTCCTGTGTTTGTTTTGTCTAGCCCTGTTAGAATTTTATAGGTTTCCATGAGATACCCTTTCTTCTGAACTCCAGTGAATACAATTCTAACTGATCCTCTCTTCATACATCAATCCTGCCATTCCAAGAATCAGACTAGTAAACCTTTGTTGCACTCACTCCATAGCCAGAACATCCTTCCTCAGATAAGGACACCAAAATTGCACACAATACTCCGGACACAGTCTCACCAAGGCACTGTACAATTTCAGCAAGACATTCCTACTCCTGTACCCAACATACCATTTGCCTTCGTCACTGACATCTCATGCTTACCTTCAGCAACTAGTTCATTCAGTTACACATATACCTTCAACAAGGTCTCAACCTGGAAAAGCTACAAGACAGGATGATATGTATGTCAAACAGACAGGCAGCATATTGATAAACATGTGCCATAAGAACTGAACCAGTGTTATCCTGTCATTTGCAATTGTGAAGTATGGCGGATAATTTAATAACAAATGGGGGATACTACATGAACAACTGCATTGTCGCAACGAGGAGCTACTTTTTGGTGTTCAGGAGCTCTTTAATTAATATCACAGATTCCTTTATTGCTCGATGCAATCACTTAGTAACTTTACCTTGGCTATTTGCATTTCTTTCTGTAGATAAATAAAGGTGGTACAAATACCAAAGAGAACAGATACATTGCTACATTTTTTAAACTAGGAATCTGTCATTTTTCTTCATTAAAAAAACAGTTGCACTGTTTCCAAAGTGAAGCCCCACAAACTTAAAACAAATTGGACATGATTATTGGCAATTATAGTTTTAGCTTTTTAATCACTTTCCATGTACAACAATCAAAGATAATTCAGGGAAAGAATCAGGATCTGAAGAACACCAATCAGTTCAAGGAAATGCTCCTTCAACAAAAACATGCTGAGTTCTGCTTGAACATTGCACACAGCAATGGAACAGTGATGTTTGGAACAAAGTGATATCATCCAGCTTTTGTGTTAGTTTTTTTATTACGTTAAAAAAAACCTGCTAAACAACAATATTATAGTTGAAATCGTGATGTTGGCATTTGTCAGTGTTAAATGGACACATGTAACTGCAAACTCTAAACTGTCTGTGTTCAAGACATCATTGAAAGAATCTGGCAATGAAAATCAGTCCAGGGATGAATGCTCACTACTTCAGTGACATCATCTCAGATGTCATATACATCACAATGTGCATAAAGGCAAAAGCAAGTTGGCCATACATCTCAGGGTTCAACTTGAAATATAAAAACACAGAATACAAGGTTTCTAATGCCAACATGAAGAAAAAAATATATTTATGAATCCAAAAGCTATAAAATTACAGAGAAGAATAGTAAATTACAACATCATTAACTCTTGGAAGAGACAGATAAGAGTCTAACTGTTATTAGACAGCTGAATGGACTCTCTAGTTTCAAATAATGTTGATCTTGCTTTGCGCACTTCCTGTGCAGTTATAACCTTGTATGCCTCGCGCTCTCTAAGCACCTTATGATCTGAACGTCCTTCTTTGCTAATGATCTGCCTGCACTGCTTGCAAAACAAAGCTTTTCACCATACTTAGGTACATGCAACTACAATGAATCAAATCAAATCAATCTGTTGAACATTTTTAAGTTTTGTTACACATCTTGGGCAGCAGGATGTGTTGACAATTTCACTGACATGAAGCAATTTCAGCTGTATAACACAACATGTTCACACAACTTGACTGGTGATTCTGTCATTTAGAGTCAGAGTTATACAGCACAGATACAGACTCCTCTGTCCAACTTGTCTGCACCGATCTAAACTGATGGTCCCATTTGCCAACATTTGGCCCATATTGCTCTCACAAGGTGCAACAACCAAGGCAGGCAGCTCTGTAAGATAGCTCCTCTTATCTTGAACAAAGTATATATAGTCTGACTGAAAGCCTGAAAATCTTGGGACCACTGGAAAGCTTCTAAAAACTTAAACAGGAACAATTATAAGTATGTGGTTATAATATCACTACTGCTTCTAACATTATTCACCTGGTAATCAATGGATTCATAAATATATTTTTTTCTTCATGTTGGCATTAGAAACCTTGTATTCTGTGTTTTTATATTTCAAGTTGAACCCTGAGATGTATGGCCAACTTGCTTTTGCCTTTATGCACATTGTGATGTATATGACATCTGAGATGATGTCACTGAAGTAGTGAGCATTCATCCCTGGACTGATTTTCATTGCCAGATTCTTTCAATGGTGTCTTGAACACAGACAGTTTAGAGTTTGCAGTTACATGTGTCCATTTAACACTGACAAATGCCAACATCACGATTTCAACTATAATATTGTTGTTTAGCAGGTTTTTTTTAACGTAATAAAAAAACTAACACAAAAGCTGGATGATATCACTTTGTTCCAACCATCACTGTTCCATTGCTGTGTGCAATGTTCAAGCAGAACTCAGCATGTTTTTGTTGAAGGAGCATTTCCTTGAACTGATTGGTGTTCTTCAGATCCTGATTCTTTCCCTGAATTATCTTTGATTGTTGTACATGGAAAGTGATTAAAAAACTAAAACTATAGTTGCCAACAATCATGTCTCTTTTGATCTTAGACAAGGAGAAAATGCACACACATTACAGTTCTGTAATTTAGGTCTGCTGAATGAAAATTACAAATCCCTATAGTGGGAGAACATCCTAACATTGAAATCAATGACAGCTCAATAAAGTGATCAGTACTAAATCGATAAGATGCAACTTCAAAATAAGGACTTCAGCTTCTCTGTCGATACTGCATAAACACTCACTTCAACAGATGGCACTGGATTCTGACCGTGATTATGCAATCACTGAAGTTACTGAAACAATTTAAAATTCTGTGCAGTGAAAAAAATGCCTTCTGAAGCGGCGCGCATAGGGATTTACACCCTGAGATGGTAGAGTGCAGGCACAAAAAAGACGTTTACTTCAACCTCATGGTAAGTTTACTTAAAAACGAACGATTTTGTTTTACGAATGAACTTCCTAAAAGAACAGAACTTAGGGGTGGGGAAAGAGAGGAGTAACTACAATTACAACACAAGGTGAAATTACAGCAGCGATATTTAAATGCATCAGCCGGCTACAGATGATCCAGGTAAAAGAGTAAAGGTCTGGTGGGACAGAGCGATATTCCAGCAGCAGCGTTACCTTTGAAGTCACATTCGGACAGCACCACATACACCACGCTCGGATCCAGGTGAGAGAACATCTCTGTCATTCTGTTCAGCAATTCCTCCTTGTTTACCCCAGCGGCAGGACAGGCAGTCACTGAATTGGAGCCCAAGGCCCACCTAGGAACTGGAGCCTGAGACCGATCAGCCGCGGCAGGAGCAGATACCGCGGAGCCAGTCCTGGTAGGAGACCCCAGTCCAGGCGGTCGGGCCGGACTAGATGCGGCGGGATTCCTCCTCTTCCTCGGCATTTCGCGGACCCCCCCTCTCAGCTGAAGCTGGAGCGAGGCCCGGAGAACAGTTACGGCAGCGTAATCACGGCTGCAAGGGGGCGGGGCTACGGCCGACGTAACTTGCGCCATTGCGTCATGGAGCCCGGGCAACAGGTCACCAGGAGGAAGAGAAAGGCCCGCCTGGTGTTTGGTCCAATCAGGTTACAGCTCTGCTGGGATGTTTCATTCTCCAGTGCAGTGTCATACCTGTCGTCGTTCTGCAAATTTACTGAGGTTTTGATGACTATACGAACTTAAGTTTGGTTTCAAATTGACGTACATAAACGAACGATTTCATTTCTTTTGAGTAACGGTAAGAAACAAACTCGACTGTAAAACCAAGACTCACTGAACAATTTCATACTTCAGGTTACAAGTGAATGATTAGGAACATTCAGAATTGTAGAAATATAACAAAAAATTATTTGTAGAGTACCTTTAACGCAGTGAAATATTCCATGATGCATCAAAGAAGCATGATAAAATATAAAAGTCTTCCATCTTCCCTCTTCCATTGGGCAGAAAATACAAAAGTTTGAAAACATGTACCAACAGCATTAAGAACAGCTTCTTCACTGTTATCAGACTTATGAACAGACCTCTCATATATTAAATTTGATCTTCCTCTGCACTTTATTGATGTAACACTATGTTCTGCATTCTGTTCAATTATCCTGATGTGCTTATGTAAAGTATGATTACTGTATCTCAGTACGTGACAGTAATGAATCAGATCATATCAAATCAAACAAAAATATGACACCAAAGCATGTAACGAGATATTTAAGTCAGATGACAAAAGCTTTAGTCATCAAAGAAGCATTTTTTAAAGGATGGGAGTGGAAAAGTGAGGGAATTCCTGTATCCTAGACAGCCAAGGGCAAGACCACCAATGACTGGGCACAGGCTGCCAAGATTAGATGATCACAAATATATCAGAGGTAGTGAGATTAGAGATTACAGGGATGTAAGGAGTAAAACTATGGAAGGAAGAATGTAATTCCAACCATCATGTCTGTGCCAGCCATTCAAGATCTATCAAATCTGTTATGATCCTGAAGCAGACCATCACCTTTTATGATCTAGAACCATAGAAATGATACAGTACAGAAGGGTGGCAGCCCATCTTCTCCATGCCGACCCAAAAACACACAGCTGTCCTTTTTAATTCCCTGTTCCTGCATGTGGCCCATAGCATTGCAGCATAGAGCACTTAAGGTGCAGATCGAAGTACTTGTTAAGAATTTAGGATCTCTGCCTTGGACACCAACTCAGGCAGCAAATTCCAGACATTCACCACACCCTGCATAAAAAGTTTTCCTCACATCCCCTCCAATCTTTCTGCTAACTAGCTTCAACCTATGACCCCTGTATTTTGAACTCCCTTACAAGGGAAACAGGTTCCTCCTGCCTACTCTATCTCTACTCCTCACAATTCTATATACCTCAATCATGTCACCCCTCAGCCCTCTCTGTTCCAAGGAAAACAAACCCAAATTTTCCAATCTCTCCTTGTAGATACAATTATCCTGGCAACATTCTAGTAAATCTCCACACTCTTTCCAGAGCAATTACATTCTTCCTGTAATGCAACCAGAACTGCACACAATACTTCAGTTGTGGCCTCACCAGTGTCTTATATAGATAAATTATTATATCCCTATGTTTGTACTTTATTACCTCTGCCAATGAAGGAGATCATTCCATATGCCTTCTTGACAACCTTATCTACCTGTACTGTTACCTTCAGGGACCTGTTAACTTCCACTTCAAGGTCTCTCACATCATCTACCCTTCTCAGTATACTCTATTTATTGTATTATTTTCTGGCTAGGGGCCAGTAAAGCTTAAAAAAGACACATTCTAAGCACTTAATAAAAGAATAAAACTACAAGATTCCACAGTTTTAAATAAACAACAGTAAATTTTACTGTACAAAAAGTGAGCACAATAATGCAATTTAGAATATGTATACAACTTTTTTTCTAACATTCAATTAGAATTAACCTGCAATAAATATGGGTAACACACAATGTGGTCGAATAGCCCACACAGCACATCAAATAGCAAATTCAATGAAGACAGATACCGCAGATTTCTCAGTAATCTACTCCCAAATACTAGTGACATAATGGACCATGACATCTCATTCAAATTTTACTTGGAATTCAAATTTCTTCTCTTTCAAAGATCCAGTTTTCCAACTTCCTCAAACGCTCATCCATCATGGACTACCTCAACGAAGCTTCGCATTCTGGATGTTCACTCTCCCAACTAGGATTGCATTTCTCTGGATCCGAGAAACTGCACTCCAGCACCTACTCACAGACATAATTTCAACTTGTCTGCAGATATCTAGCTTCACTATGATAGTACTGATCCTGCATTTCTGAGTTCTAATCTTGCCCAGCTACACAAAGCAAATACTGCTGTTGGCATCTTTTCCCCTTGCATGAAGTTGCACTTAACAATGTTATAATCTTGTTCAAAGCTCCTATAATTTCCAAGACTTTTCCTGAACTTGTACCCAAAAATAGGCTGTACCTCCCAACTCCCTGCACTTCTAAGTATTAGAGCTCAGAATCTGCTACGGCAGCACCATATTGGGGTGAAACTTCTCCCATGTCCCAAACTGACTAACAGCTCAAGTATCATAACCATCCTCTCTGACTGCCTCTATCTAAGCTGGAATAAATGAATGTTTGGTAACATTTGGTAATATTTTGGATGACCAGTTGAAAACCTTGCATCAAGCCTCTTTTGCTCAGCAGTATTGCATGTAACTAATATTTTAGAACAGTCTAATATAGCAATCCTTTAGAACTGCCTGTTTCCTAAATGTTACAATGTTTACACATTGCTGACTTGCACAGTATAAGGTGGAAACAAAAAGGGGATTTTGCCACAAACCTAATCTCACCTTCCAGCTCTGGATAGTTATAGCACTTCAAGTGTACATTTAATTTTTTTTAAATGTAAAGACACCTTATTTCCCTGTCACCCTTTCACACAGTGAGTTATAGGCCATAACCACAATCTGGTTGAAGCACTTCTCCTTAGCTCCTTTCTAATACTGTTAACAATTAACTTATGATAGAGTCATAGAGACATACAGCGTGGAAGCTGACTCTTCTGTTCAACTTGTCGACGCCAACCAAGTTTCCCAAACTAAACTTGTCCCACTTGCCTGTATTTGCCCAAGACCCTCTAAACTTTTCCTATTCATGTACCTGTCCAAATGTCTTTTAATCGTTGTGACTGTATCTGCATCTATCACTTCCTCTGGCAGTTCATTCCAAATAAAAACCACCCTCTGTGTGAAAAAGTTGCCTCTCAGGTCCCTTTTAAGTCTTTCTCCTCTCTCATTAAAAATTTGCCCTCTAGTTCTGAACTTCCCTACCCTAGGAAAATGGCCTTTGCTATTAACATTATCTACGCTCCCCATGATTTATTAAACCTTATAAAGTCACCCCTCAATCTCCTACATTGCAGTGAAAAACATCCCAGCCTATCCAGCCTCTCCTTATAATTCAAATCCTCTAGTCCTGGCAACATCTTTGTAAACCATTTCTGAACCTTTTCCAATTTAATAATATCCTTCTTTTAGCAGGGCCACCAGAACTGTACACAGTGCTCCAAAAGTGCCCTCACCAACATCCTGTAAAACCTCAACATGACACCCCAACTACTATACTCAACAATGGCAAGCACGTTAAACGTCTTCTTAACCCCCTGTCTACCTGTGATGCAACTTTCAAAGAACTATGCACCTGAACTCCTAGGTCTCTCTTTGACCACATTACCCAATAGAACTGTATTAGTCCTGCTCTTGTCGTTTTTCCAAAATGCAACACCTTGCATTTATCCAAATTAAATTCCATCTGCCACTCCTCAGCCCAATGGCCCAATGGATCAAGATCCTTTTGTAATCTCGGATAACCTTTGTCTGTGTTCACTATACCACCAATTTTGGTATCATCTGCAAACTTACAACCATGTCTCTTCTATTCTCATCGAAATCGTTTATATAAATGACAGTGGATCCAGCACTGATCCCTGCAGAACACTGCTGGTTACAGGCCTCCAGTCAGAAAAAACAACCCTGCACCCCACATTCCGTCTCCTGCCATCAAGCCGATTTTGTATCCAATTGGCAAGCTCTCCCTGAATCCAATGTGATCTAACTTTACGGATCAGTCTACCATGCTGGACCTTGTCAAAGCTTTCACCAAAGTCCATGTAGGCAACATGTACTGCTCAGCCCTTATCTATCTTTTTGGCCACGTCCTCAAATAACTCAATCAAGTTTGTGAGACATGATTTCCCATGCACAAAGCCATGTTGACTATCCCTAATCAGTCCCTGCCTCTCCAAATGCATGTAACTCCTTTCTCTTACAACCACCTCCAATAACTTACCCACTACTGACGGCAGACTCACCAGTCTATAGTTCACAAGCTTCTCCTTACAGCCTTTCTTTAAAAAAGACACAACCTTAGCCAGCCTCCAATCCTCCAGCACCTCACCCATGGTTGGAGATGTTCTTTGCTAGGGATCCTGCAGTTTCTTCCCTTACTTCCCAATGTCCTGGGATACACTTGATCAGTCTTGGAGATTTATCCACTTTTACGTTTTTTAAGATCTCCAGTACTTCCTCTTCTGTAATAGAGTCCTATAGCATGAAGACAGGCCCTTTGGCCCAAAGTGGTCCACGCTGACCAAAATGTCCATCCATGCTAAACCCATTTCCTTGCACTTGGCCCATATCCTTGTAAACATTTCCTATCTATGTATTCGCGCAAATGCCTTTTAAATTTTGTTAATGTACCCGCCTCAACCACTTCTGCTGGCAGCTCATTCCATTGTGTAACACCCTCTGTATGAAAAAGTTGCCCGTCAGGTTCCTGTGTATTCTTTCCCTCTTACCTTAAACTGATGCCCTCTAGTCCTCGATTCTCCAACCCTAGGAAAATGACTGAGCGCATTCAACCTATCCATGCCGCTCATGATCTTATACACTTCTGTAAGATCCCCCCTCAGTTTC